GTATGTCCAAACTACAAACATTGAACACCTAGATGGCAAAACGATTTATGGACTTCTGGCAGAATCATCCAGGATTGGCTCACTCCAAGGCGTTTATTCACCTTTCGAATCTTGATACCAAAAAGTTGTTAGGACTACAATAGGGATGAACTACGATGTCTAACAGGCCTTCTTAAAGGTCACTGTCATTTGAATCATCATATACAGAGACTCGGACTGTCGGAAGACAGTGTATGTCGCCTCTGTTTGTAAAATGATGAAACAGCAGGGCACACAGTTTGTGCCTGCCCCGCTGGGGACCAAATCAGGTTATTTGGAGTTCGGCAGAGCCGTACTCCTACCATCTGACATGAAAGACCACTCACCATACAAACTAATCAGATTCGTTAAGATGCTGGGTTTATTTGGCCGAGTTTGAATAGGTGTGAGCCACAATAAACCCTTGCGGGTGGAAGGTCGAATAGACCCACTCACTTTGGACCTAACCTAATGTCCAAACTACAAGAACATCAGCAGACAATTATATGATATATCACACAAGATATGACTATAATATTGTAACACATCTGAAACCGCCCCTGACCAGTACGCCGGCCGAATCATGGAACAAACAAATGACATTACAGCGAAAGAATGCAGTCGGGAATCGCCGGTAAAATTTTAAACCTTACCGACGTCATAATTCTAGAAAGGACCGTTACCGATATAAGCACGTCTTCCCGACCCAAGAGGGCAGTTCAGAAAGTGAATCGAGCGGCTAAACAAGAAATTCAAATAGTGGAAATGATGTAAGCGTCAGTTGCTAAGTGTTATAATAAATTAGTTTGTGATTACTTAAATATTGTTGGAAATAAATTTGTTTAAGACACTTAATTCATTAATTTGTCATAGGCGGGTACATAGCGCAAATCTGCGTAACAATCTACTGTTACGCAATAGTATAGGACAAGATGTTATTTTTTCACTATAAGACACAATGTTGCATTTTCGAATATTCAAATGCAATTTGTTTCGCAAGCATCAATTATGAACCAACTCAAACCAGATTGCAACTGTTGACAGTGTAAGCAAAATATTAATTACTTCCCATAGATCGTTTATAAACATTATGAATAAGAAGGGGCCCACGTTAGAACTCTGTGGCATACCTGATCTAAGAGAATACCTAGGAGATCTGAATGACTCATATTAAACTGCTTTCAAACAAACAGATATAGAGTTTTTTTCAAGGACAGAACACAAGCACTACAGGAAAATCCTTAAGGTGATCTCATAGCCGTTTCTGTGCGAAAGTGGCAATGTTCCAGACTATCAATGATGCTCGTGTCTCCAATCAGGCGGATGGCTTTTCCCTGGATGGAAACCAGCAGCTTCAGGGTGTGTTTAGGGGCGGAGCTCCTTACATGAGAACAATACTCCAAAGAAGGTCTGAGCTTTATAAAGTATCAAACGTTGTTGAGGTGTGTACAGTTTTCTGGTTCGGAACAGTGTTCCAAGCTTTTGAGCAGTAGCCTTTGCAATTCCAGCGACATGATTGTGCGAAGACATATTGGTGTCCATTTTAACCCCCAACAAACTTATCGAAGCAGAAAGCGGAATTGTCTGTCTTGACATCATGATATCCGGTTCGGAGACATTTATCTTTTCGGAAAAAAACCGCCTGGGTTTTCGTGGCATTATAGATCCTCATTGAGATATGCAACCTACTGCTGCATGTGCAGATGTGCATACTCAGCCGATGTCTTGGAATCCAAATGGAATGTCGAGACAAGGGTGTTGTCGCCAGAAAAGCAGTAAGTATATGGGATTCTTGGTTTTTTCCAATAAGTCGTTGATATACAATAAAAAGAGGGTTGGAGACAATGTGTATCCCTGGGGAATACCAGCGTTGATGGTAAAAGTATTAGGGAGATATCCATCGACGGAACATTGCAGGGAACATTTATTTCAGGAAGCTGGGGAGCCATACACAAAAAAGATCCGACAAGACATAGCATCTAAGTTTGGCCAGCAAACCCTCATGCCACAGGCCTTAGGAATATCAAGCTCAACAGCTCTTCACTCTCTATGTTTCTCGATTGCGGTATTCCAAATATGCGTGACATACGACAGAAGGTCGCCTGTTGATCTTTGTTTCCGAAAGCCTTACTGATGATCTCTCAAGATGTTAAAGCCTTCCAAATATTTAAGGATATGGTGGTTTACCACTTTCTCCATGATTTTTGACATCACTAATAGCAAAGCAACTGGTCTATAGTTATTTGGAAGATTTTTGTTGCCCTTTTTGGGAATAGGCTAAACGCGAGCAAGTAGTAGTAGTAAGATTTATTTTCTTTATGACAAATTCACAAGTTGTATAAGAATAGTCACGCTTTTCCTAGATCGTAAAAAAACATACAAAAAGTATAATACAAAAAAACAAAAAATACACAATTACAAAGAGAAATATGTACAAATATCAACTCCACATACACAACGTTGATACATTAACTACGGCTTATGCACAAGAGCAATAACTGTTGAGTATTCATCGTAAAACTCAGCTAGTGAGTAAAAGCACTTTTCTAATAGAATATTCTCCAGATGTTTTTGGAATTTAACTGTGTTGACTGATTTGTGTTTTATATCACAGGGAAGTTTATTAAAAAGTTTCAGGCCTAGGTGTGAAGGAGCATTAGTTGTCACTTTGTATTTACAAACGGGCTCATAGTAATCATTTGTTTGCCTAGTTTTTTTTGAGTGTATATAACTGATTTTCATGAAAGTATTCTTGTTATTGAATATGTACAAACATGATTCCAAAATAAGTAGACATGGCAGAGTGAGAACACCTAATTCTTTGAAAATTGGTCTGCATGATACATTTCTTTTCTTTCAACCTCCCCACAAGATAACAACAGATATCTATCTGATCAAAAACTTTCTGGAAATCTGGATAAATAGTCGTGGTTGAACTCATGACTCTATGTCAAGAATTGGTTTCCAAATGTGGAATTGATCTTCATATTCAAGAAACTAAGTCTATGTTCGTTTTTTCTTTGAGAAATGGTTCTCCCCGTTTGGCCAATATGAAGTTTTGGACAAGAATCACAAGTCAACTTATATAGTCCTGATCTATCTGACACTGAAATTTTGCCTTTATTGTCTTCAATACATTCCCTTAAATTATTAATTGTCTAGTAAGCCACGTGTAAGTCTGTGCTTTTCAAAAAATGAGGTATGTTATTAGTGGGTTCACCAATGATCTATTATGCTGATAAATGCAACTACTGTTGATCGGGATGTGTCAATTAATCATGCATGAAAATTTCCGTATAAGATGGTTAGTGGAAAATTGCAAAATCATATTTATAATTAATTTTAGTAATAGTCATGTCTAGAAAATTTATTGAATTATTTACGTCCATTTCAGTGATGAATCGAATTGATGGGTAAAGGGAATTAACAATTTCGAAAAACTTGAACAAATGCCTACCTGTACCAACAAAGCAGACTGATAAATCATCTACATTGAAATAAGATATCATCAACTATTGAAAAATATGTTGAAACCTCTCAAAAGTGAAACTTGTGCGAGCTGAGAATTAACGAGGTCTTAGCTTTTAACGTGCGAATCCTCGTTCGGGTTGGACGATAGGCAGTGAAAATCGTTCGTCCGGCCTCTTGCCTCGAACCACCGTACCACCTAGCGGTCGACTGAACCGATGAAACCACTGATTATTAGAAATTTCATTCTCAAGGTTGTCCACAAAATTTCAGCTAGCAAAGGACTCCACGGGTTTTCCATCATTAGCTATTCGCTGCATGAATTAAACTTTTCATTGAATGGAAAATAATTTTCAGACGGACAAATAGTAAACAAGATTTCTGTCTGAGAAACGCTCAACTGGCTCAATTGTTTCAATTGGCGGAATACTTCTAACGATATAAAAGAGTTATGTTTTCAATGTTATTCAACATTCGATATGTATTGCTATGAATTATCCCTTGAAAAAAATATGTCGGCCGCCACTGGTCTTGGTAAATTGACTGTGACTTGGCCAAGGTCGCACTCAACTCTAGGTCGTTCTAGGTGTCGCGTCGCTTCGAGAATATTCCTGTCAGCTTCCGGATACTTCAATGGGCATATATAAGCACTACCAACAGACAAATAGGGCTAGTCTAGATGAAAGTGCGGTACGAAATGAGCTAATGCGGCGATATATTAGTCTGAAGTTCAGGTAAAGTTTTTGGTGTTGTATTGGAAGTGTAGTAAGTAGTGAAATAAAGTGAGTTTCATTGTACAGTGTGATCAATTATTGTCGAACACACGGGAAAACGTAACCGTATTTTTTATACTAAATCGCGGTCTGAAATTAGTGCTACGTTTTTTTACCCGTGGGTTGAACAATAATTGACTACACTGAATAATCAAACTTAACTTCATTTTACTTTAGATACAACAAACACTTCAACTAAAACTTCAACTATTATTTGAATGTCTATCGCCTTACTAGATCACTTCGCATACCGCACTGTGTCGCCCACTTCACTGTGTAGTTGACTGTCTCGATACGCTCGCAGCCAGCGTTTAAATATCGTAATCGAACATCGTAGAATTTTAGCCGAAGTTCCATCGACATCGATAGCATGACTCTAGCTGCTTCTCGAGCGGCAGGGAACATTGGGCTTTCCCGCGCTCTTAGCTACGTCACGTTTGGTTTATGGTTACCAGTGGCGGCCGGCGTTTTTTTTCAGGCATGACTTACAACTTAGTATGAATTTCAATCAATTGTATAAGCATTTCCAAAATGTTTACAGATGGAACCGTTACAAACGACACGTTACGGCTCCATCCATATTTTTCATGTTTCTTATAAATGCAAATTTAGACAGATCAAGAGTATTTCAGTAAAGCATTATCGATTTTACATTGGTGGTACACTCTATTAATATTTATTGAATAAAGAATGCCATTGTGCATATTTGGAAGAATCTAATGAATAACGCAAAAATCTACATTTCATTCAGTAGGTACCAAACATTAAACAACGAATTCAAAGAATGTAAACTTTCATGACCTACTACTACTTTCACAACTACTACGTTTGATATTATCAAAGGTTGTTTGACCGTGCAAACCACGGCCAAACAACCCGGAAAATAGCTTCGACAGAATCAACGAATTGTCATGTCCAGACATAGGCGGTGATCCCTTCGATCCCCCCAACCCCCGTTCCTGTTGACCCGTTTACTTTTCAAATCTGTCGAACTCCCTAATATCAAGTGACCAGGATACAAGTGACTGTTGGCACTTTTGAGCACACGTTCAACTCTCAAAATGGCCGAAGTCAGACCACAATCGTTTTTCGCATGGTGGACCCCGCATTCCCCAATGTGGAAAACCCTTGGAGCTCGAACGGACACAGCTTGGAGTTCGTGTTTCAAACATCGTTGAGACAAGTGTTGGAGAGACCAGTCCCAATTGTAGTCGTCATATTCACAGAAATCGGTTGCGCATTCGGCTATCTGATTCCACGTAGATCGGTTGAAAGCCATCCCCATGTTGTGTTTCCCCCCTATCCAAGGGGATGCGTCCACTCTTCCGGAATCCAGACGGTAATCGTAAGCATTCAAATACGTCCCCAAGGAGAGGATGTTGCAGTGTTTGAAAAATATTCTGCAGTGTTTTTCCATCAACTTCAGCATGTAAACGAAATCTTCTGCGACATATTGGTCTTCTTCCAGGAAAATGACGGGGCCGGTGTGGTTTTCCATTGCTTCGAGTCGACTGAATATTCGATTGGCTTTCCACCACCAGTGGTGTTTTATTTGGGCAAACTTCGCCTCCCGGTAGTGTCCGTACACGTCAGGATAGAGGGCGTTATTACATTTCTTTACAGCTGCTTCTTCTTTCGTCATATCCCTAGGACAGTCTCTCGGATCGTCCCCGGGAAATTCACTAGGATGAGTTTGCGTGGAGTATGGGTAGAACATTTGCGTTACTTTGCAAAAGTCGATGGTTTTTACAAGACTGTTTATTTCTTCGTCGTAAAAGTCGTGCGAAAAAACGAGAAGCGCTTCCGATATACCAAACGCTCTTGCGAGACTCGCTACTAGATGGCGTAAGTAAGCAATTCGATCATGTACCTGAACGACGATGACAACCGAGTCATTCTGAAGCGGTTGGAATTTGTGCTCGTTGTGAACGACTTGTTCCTGGTTGTATTGAGCTATTTTTCGTTTTATGGTGGATATATTGGGCATATTACTTAATATTTCTTCATAAACAGAGGTGATTGGTGGTTCTGGAGATTTCGCACTCGAAATCACCGCATCGGCATTGTTCAACTTGGAGTATTTTGAAGAAGGTTCGTCTAGATCTGAAAAGTTGAGGTGCAGCCATATGAAAATCATCAGGAATATCACTGAACCGGTTCGTATATAATCCAATACATTTTTGTGGTGCCACATTTTGCTACTCAAGGCTCAAGTACTAAATAACTAATAGTTTATAACGATAATACTGTACATGTTTTTGGTTACAGAACAGAAACGTCTTATGAAAATCACTGTTTTCTGACCCTATCAATTATTAGGGCCTTTTTCGTTTCAGTTTCCGCTTGTCAGATTGTGATTTGTTTATACTTTTTCCTAGAGGCACAAGAAACACATCAAAGTCAATTTTACACGGACAATGAAAGTGACAGTGACAGATCTATCATTGACGGAAAAAAATGAACGTCAATCATCATGCAGCGTAAAATGTCTATACAGTGCGGACGTAAATCGTCTCCCCCTCTTGACTTCCAAACGGTACAAGATATCAAGGTCACACTGATTAACTAGTATGAACAAGCCTGTTCAATTTGTTCCTTATGATTTCAATTGTAGGAATCTCCTTGCTTTTGTAACAGTCCTATATTGTTTTTTTTAATGATTTTATTAGATGAACATCTAAAGGTTTTGGTAATCCCGTATCACATCGCGTCTTGCGTTCATAAGGTTTGTTTTTGACTATTTTACGGACAGTTGACAAATGAATTTCGGTCAAATCTATTGTTGCTTGTAATAGTTTTTTCTCTCGAAACCAAACTTGATATGTAGATTCTTATATACATTGAAGCATACTCTCTGTGTTTCAATATTCGAGTGCATCCGAATCTTATTCACTGGTATCTCTTTTTCGCATTGTTCACCAGCGCTATTGGAATCACTACACAGGAAAAAGTCTGCGTTGTTATCACACTCGTTATTACTATTAGTGCTTGTCCAAGGACGCCACATTTTAAACAAATAACAAAAATTTTAAGTAATTAAAACTTCACCAATATCGAATTTCAACACTCAAATCGCGATCAGTTCCTGAACTGAACATTGACGACACAACGGCTGTACTCATCGCTGTACTATTATCCAATACGAACCGCCAGTTCTTCAGTCCACGTGGACTAATTCGTAGCGGCATTATTTCTTGTATTGGTTTTTTTTTGGCCTTTGACTTCGCCGACACCTTTAGGATTACTATATCACTTACTTCGACTATACGAGGTATGTTCAAAAAATAAGGTGAATTTGTGAATTTTAATGTTTCTGAAATAATATGTATTTATTCATCAATTTCTATTTTGTTCCCTTCAAAGTACTCCACCTCAGATGTAATACAGCGTTTTCTTCTAATCCTCAAGCAGTCCTTGCACTTTTTGGAGATTCTGTATTCGCAAAACGCCGTCCTTTCATGGGTCTCTTCAATCTCGGGAACGAGAAATAGTTGCGGTAGGGGGGATGCAAATCAGGTGTATACGGTGGCTGAAGCATGATTATGGTGTTGTTTTTCAGCCTATTTGGGAAACCCCAGCGGTCCTCAAAGCCAACATAACCCATGCAATCGGTTAAATTCAGCCTGATCTAAGCGCCAGATTCATGGAAAATTGGACGTTTCAGATGCACTCCACCCAGAGAAGCCGTGACGGAAATTTGAACGATATTATATTCCACACATAATGTCATCAATAGTTCTTTCGAACGAATAAAAATTGTGATAAGGAATACCATATGGAAATTGTGAGAGAATGTAGTGTTGTAGATCATGCCCGAAAGAAAGTAACGCCGGCCGCCAATGGTAACCATAAACCAGCTAAGCTAGCTAAGAACGCGGGGATGCCCAATGTTCCCTGCCGCTCGAGAAGCAGCGAGAGTCATGTTACCGATGTCAATGGAACTTCGGCGAAGTAGTAGCCTTACCCAACCAACGGTGGCAGAAGCCCTGTGTATTGTGTGGCAGTCTTTTCGATGAATCTCAAGAGGTACCTCTTTCACAGTTTGTGAATGACCTGAAGGAGAGACTGGAAATTGTACGAATTTACCGGAACCAAAGTACAGCTTTCCGGCGACAGGATGAAGATAGATAAGATTTGACAAAAAGTCGCTGACAGTGAACTTCAAGGAGGGCGATGCAGTGTGGCTCTACTAACCCCAACGTCGGAAAGGTTTGTGTCCCAAGTTGCAGAGACCATGGCAAGGACCTTACTTGGTAACCAAAAAGATAAACGATCTAGTGTACAGAATCCAATTGTCAGCCCAGAAGCACGCCTAAAGTTGTCCACATAGAGAGGCTCAGTCCTTACATGGGTCGTGATGTCCCCTCTTGGAATGTTATTCGGGGCGAACAACCTCAGGGAAGGGGGTAGTGTTGTAGATCATTCCCGACAGAAAGTAACGCCAGCCGCCATTGGTAACCATAAACCAAACATGACATAGCTAAGAGCGCGGTGATGCCCAATGTTCTCTGCCGCTCGAGAAGCAGCGAGAGTCATGCTACCGATGTCGATGGAACTTCGGCGAAAATTATACGATGTTCTACTACGATATTTAAACGCCGGCTGCGAGCGTATCGAGACAGACAAGTACACAGTCAAGTGGAAGCTACAGTGCGGTACGCGAAGTGATCTAGTAAGACGATAGACATTCGAATAATGGTTGAAGTTTGAGTTGAAGTGTTTGTTGTATTTAAAGTGAAATAAAGTTAAGTTTGATTATTCAGCCTAGTCAATTATTGGCCAGCCCACGGGGAAAAACGTAACAGTAGAAATTGTGGGATTATGACGAGGTAGGTACAAATTATGAGTTTGAGGATTTATGAATGATTATGAGTTAGGTTAAGGTATTGTGGGCTTGGTAATTGTTAATTAGGGCGCTACGAATGTGAGACTTACAGGCTTGTTTTTTAATATGTGGGGCTGTTTATTTTTGTCGATTCGAGTTTCGGAATTTTTGTTAGGTTAGGATATTGTAAGTTTGGAAATGGATGGAGTAGAAAATAGGTGTGATGTAGTGTGGAGATCTGTGTGGTGTGTGTTTGAGGGCTTTTATTACCTGAACAAATGAAATTTACAAATCTATTGGCATATCACTTCAATGATATCTCAAACTCTTTAAATCCTATGTCTTTTCTGGATTGCTACCGAAAACTTTGCAGTGTGGAAAGATCTGTTTACTGCTAGTTCGGACATGAAATAACTATATTTCGAAAATAATTTTTTGAAGTTTTTTCAGACCCAATCGATGATTCTGTTGGAAATTTCTTACCGTCAACCTCATATATATAGAAAAAACCTCGAAAACAAACTGTGGTTTCTGCACTTTAGTTAGAACACCTCGGAAACCCGAACTAGGAATTTTGGCTTCAGCACATAGAAAACGTTCGTGTGGTTTGAAATCTGCAGAACAAAAAAAACTTTAATTCATCAACAGCCCCTTGAACCTGTCCCGTTCGAAGCAGAGAAAAGAGAAAAAACTGCGGAACCAACCTGAACAATCGATGCACAAGAGTTTCAGTCTCAAGCACATTTTTCCCAGGTGCCTGACCATTTAGACGGGTCCTATTTTTAAAGCTGGCCGACTCGATCAATTTGCCGCACTTTTTCATTAACTAAACACATAACGCATTCTCGCCGACCGGCGATTAACTCTCGGACAACCGCAAACGACCAGAGAGAAGCATAATAATAATAAAACTCGAAGAAAAGACTTTTGAACGCGAAACGATACTGCGCTGAGACGGCTGAGACTGACGATATTATTGCGAGTGTTCGGCGGTGTTGCCGTCACAGTACAGTTGTTTTTCTCGAGATTCACCAAAAGGAACGGAAAATCCGATCGAAAAGCACGAAACATTGATATATGAGCAAATGGGCGTAAAACCTCGAAAAAATTCCTATGGAGATTGACCCATCACATATGGTGCGTGGGATGGCGAAAAAACTAAACGTCAGCTCCTATGCGATTTTTGTTTACATATTATTGACGTAAACTTTTCATTCTATCCGTTTAATTAACCCTTTTCATTCCATGTCACAATATTTTGTTTTCTTTATATGCCAAAACTTTGCAAAACGAACATAAAAATATCTAAAACAAGCCATATTCAAACATTAATCTCTCAGGCACTCAAATTAGCTGTTTAAATGTTGAACTGTCGTCTTAACCTCTTGTCTTCAAGCGCCCTCTGACGGCCTCGCCAATGGTGGCCCCGATTGACACCTGTCCTGATCTTCTTCTTCACTTTTCAATCTTCCTTGGCCGTGGCTTTCAGGACTTATCAGTGAAATGAAACAGATTTCTTCATGTCATTGAAATCGGATATGAAATTGTACAACATTTTAATGTACAACAACACAACAAAAATAGTGCAATGTGTTGTACAATTGTATAACAAGGAGCAACAATGAATGTTAATGGGCCTGATGCATTCCGAGGTTGAAATGGTCCGCTGAGATCATTTTATATCCGCAGGATATAAAATGTTCAGACAATCAAAAAAAAAGCCAGAAAACGCAGCAAATGCGCCACAAAAACCAGAAAACGCAGAAGATTCAGAAAATGCGCAGATTCCGGGTATTTCGCGCCTTGTTGGCAACACTGTTGTCGATATCATTGCGAGCTCGCGGACTCCTCCACTTCGGCCGATATACATACACACTTAATCTATAAATAAGTTGCAGACCTACACGCGCATACAGTGTATACATTTTTGTTCGCGTCGACGGTCGTCCTATTTTCGTTTTTTTTTTCTTACCGAGAAGCGCCCACGTATCCGCGAGATTTCTCGCTTTTTATTAATAATCTGTTTTGACTGGCGCTACAAACGGTTCGGATGCAGAATTCCCTTATTTCCGGCAGGAAAGCCTCAATATGTTACTCTCTTTTTCAGATACTATTCCAAATAAGAAATTCTTATCTCAACAAAAAATAAAATGTCATGTATAGACTAATATCTAGATACAAAATCCAAGTTATGTTGTGATACTCTTTTTTTTACACGCTTCATATTAGCTTCACCTGTATGTATGTATGTATGTATGTATGTATGTTTGTTTGTAACTCTCAAGGTCGGGATCTGTATTTGACATTATTGATTGATCTATTCGCGGGAAGGTGGCGCTGTACGTAACCTTGATATAATTCCAGATCACTTTACATGTATTTCTTCATTTGAAAAAAGTATTTTTTTATTAACACGCGCGCCTGCTGCCTTATTTGTAACCCTCCTTTGCGCGCCTGCTGCCTTGGGCTTGGTAGCTGATTTTCAGGCTCCGGAATCGGAAAATATCAATGGTCATTTTTCTAAACAATATGCGACTGATAGATCCCAAAGTTTAGATAAAATAAATATAGTTTAACAT